TTTGTTTTCTTAGCGGTATATTTAGGATTGCTATCCTGCTAGAGTATGAACTCGCTTCCCAATCTCAATTTTTAAGTCTATGGTTGCAAGTTGGCTTTGAGAAATTTCACAATACATTGAAGCATCCATTTAAGTCATTAATAAATGTTAACTTCCACACTCCTTTTTAACTCATATTACCCCAAAATGTCACATCTCCTCCTTTATGCATTACACTACCTTGCAAACAATTTAATTTATAAGCTTCTCCTTTTTTTTGCACACCTTTTGGACTTCATCTGATGAGACGAAATTACATTTTGACTCATTTTACTACAAAATATTTTTCCAATATGATATCAACATTTTTAAGGACTTCGATGCAAACTCCAGACGACATTTCATTTGTTTAGAAGTTAAAATAGGTTTATTTCGAACCACTCTATCTCTACATCCTTGTTCTCTTATACAATTTCTAATTGTTTGAGAAGTCACTGTGATGTTATGATCTTCTTGAACTTTTAAAGCTAATTTAGCTGCCAAAACAAATCTATTTTTCTTCACATTAATGATGACATTAATGATATTTCGATCAATTGCACTAGTGGTTTTGCGTTTTCGTTCTCTACCAGCCACACTAGCGGTTCTTAACAATTGAAAAAAATAAAGTTATGCTTTAACACAAATAACATTTTTGGGAGGGCCATCTCAAAGCTCGGACTTGAATCCAATAGAAAATTGTTGGTATTTTTTGGACAGAAAAATTGGCAAACGAGCATTTAGACGCAAAGAAAAGTTGAAAAAAGCTATAATGAGGGCATAGGATAATATAACAACAGAAGAGACCCAAAATTTGGTCAACTCAATGTCAAACCATCTAGATGAAGCCATCATCAAGGCTAAAGGAGGTCTCACTCGATACTAATTTTTATGGAATTTGATCAATTTGACATTATTTTGGAACTGTACAATTAAAAAGTTGAAAGAAGCTATAATGAGGGCATAGGATAATATAACAACAGAAGAGACCCAAAATTTGGTCAACTCAATGTCAAATGCTGCATTAGATGCACACAGATGATGTCATGCTAATGAAGGTAGCTGCAGGGGCTTCAGTACATATATCAATTATCTTATAGCTTGCTGTTTGTAGAAGGCACTGCTACATCAACTGAGGGTTTGGTCTTTGGCAGCAATCTTTTCTTTCTTTATTCTGTTTTTTTCTTCTTTTTCTGAAAAATTAAAGCGCACATTTTTAGAATTAGAGCACAAAAAGGATATGAAATTGCGTCCTTATGAACTGTTCAGTTATGTATATATATATATATATATATATATATATATATATATATATATATATATTCCTATAGTTTGACATTTAAATTACCGTTTGTGTTAAAAAATAGCTCATAACGACTCTTTGTCTTTAGAAGTGACAAAATTAAGTACAGTTTATGTAAAAACATTAAATTTAATCATAGTCATAGGATTTAACTAGTCATGAAATGCCGTTATCAATTGATTTTGTAAAATAAATTGAACTTTATGGGGTGACCAGACTGAGAGTGCATCAAGTAATTTTTAAATGACTTTTTCTGGCAAAGACTTTGATAATTTCAATGAACTCAGTGATGTTCTAGCTGCTATTGAGTTTCTATTTAATGGAAACAGACTTCACTTTTTTGTTGAAAAATTAGGTTACCTAATTTATTTTATCCTAACCAAACTAAAGAAATTATATTTATGTACTTGTTTTGCAAGAAATGATGTGTATAGCAAGGTGACTCATCGCTAAAAACAATGATACGATTACTGATAAACAATTTAGCAAAGAATAAAAAAAAGAAAAGATTATTTTTCATCTTATTTCAAAATTATTTAGTTCAGATTACAGAGCTTGCTACAGATAAATGATACCCTGCTATAAGCTGAATTTAAAAATTTAGAATCAAGTATAAATATTTCAAGTATTCAAGAAGAAGTTATTACAGCTTATTCCCTAAAAAAAAAGTAATTAAATTTATTTGATGTTGAAATTTTTTACAACAGTTTCTGAAAATATTTTCTGAAACAAAAAAGTCTTTTTAAAACTTTAGCTAAAGTTGTACTTTTCTTTTAAGTTTTGAAGTAGCAATTCTTGTCTTTGTTTATATGACTGGTACCTTTTTTATTAATGATATTAAAACATTTGAGCATGTATTCTAATACATTACTAAACAAAATCTTATACTTTGACATAGTGAGAATGTTTTTGGTACCTCTTAACCTACAATTAGTTTCAATTAAAATTTCAAAAGCTTATGGAGAATTCATGTCTACATGTCTAAGTTGTATCATGAGCAGCATTTATCATATTTGCTTGCTGCTAAATGTGCATGATCGTCTAACGCTATATATACAAGTTCATAGATTTATTTTTCAAAAGATAAGCTGAAAGCTTTCAAGATTTAAAAAAGTAAACAAAATTGATAAATTAGTAACATCAATTAAAAAACACCCTCAATTTTGAAACATAGAGGAACTTGAAGGACTTGAACTTACTAAAACAGCTATTTTTATAGCCACGTATTTAAAAAAATAATATTGGTATATCATTAACTTCTCTTGAATTAATAAAAAAAATAATTAATGTATATTTAATAGTTTTATGTATATTTGATAGTTTTATGGTGTAGTAACTTTGTTTTTAATTTTAAAATATTAATGACACCACTAATATTTTAGATATGGTTTATAAAAAATGTATTTGTATTAAGTTTTGAAAATATCTAATAATATTATTTGCAAATAATGCAAACAGTTTTTACTTGCTTTTATCTCCTTTTTTTTGCATGACTCAATACTATATTATTATAATAAAATATTTTATTTTACCTGTGTATGCACCTAAATACAATATATTTCCAGCTACTACAAATATTTTAAATTTTTTCATTTTTATTATTTATTAAGCCAAAATCATTAAAAGATGGGTTATCCTTGCAAGCACCAAATGATAGTTGGTGTTCAAAATAAATTTCAAATAATTCCATAATGTAGTGCAGCAGTAAAAATATTCTATTTCATAATGTAGTTTAATTCAGCAAAAACTTATTACTTAGACTGCAAGTGTAACACTCCTTAACAAATATGGTGCTAACTTTATATGCTTACAAGTGAGTTTAGGTAAAATATGAAAGCCACATTCTCTGTCTTCATAGAATATATAAGCAATATGATTCCACAGTATAAACATACCATCATTTAACATATATGTATGTTTTAAGCTGAATATGTTTTAAGTTGGATAAATCACATTTGAACGTGGTGAATCAGCTATAAATGAATTATTTAAAATACATTTTGAACAACTTACAATATACAGAAATTCCATCACAAGTTACAAGCAATAACTTTTAAGGAGTTCAGTTTACAAATTTTGATTGCTTTTTAAAGTAAAAGAAACATTTGTCATCCAGAGGCACCAGTTGTGGTAAAGTCAGCTAGATTAGTTAAGTATATAATCAAACACGGCAGCAGACTTTGAAACTAGAAAATTATCATGGGATATCTTATTTTAGTTAAATATGATAACTTTAAATTTGTTGCTGTTTCTCTCAAAATAACTTCCTAAAAGGTGAGATATTATTTTTCTGCGTTTAACATAACAGATACTAAATCATTGCTTAAACTTACAGTCAAGATTTAAAAATAGAATTCTGTAGTTATCTTTTTTTGATACACTTTTCCTTTTTTTTTAAATCATATCCTGTTTGATTTTTACTTTAGTGATGCAATATTTGGCAGCAGTTTCTTTTACATCATCTTTTTTGTATCAAGTACAATCGCTTAGTAAAAGTATTTGCTATTACATACCAATACAGCATAATAAAAACAAATAATTATATACAAGTTTTTGTAATTATATAAATTCCAACAAAACATATTAAAAACAAAAAATTATATTCAAGAATTTTAGTTAAAAAAGTTTGGATATACCTGCTATATTTAAAGTATTTATACAAATTTATTAAAATCTTTTTTTTTTTTTTTTTTGAAATATTTTTTTAGTACTTAATAAGTTTTTTACTTAATAAAAATAGAAAAACAATTTATTGTTGGTATTGCACTCTTAATAAAAAAGGTTGAAGTTTCTACTGTAGGAGTGGATATGTGATATATCCTTAGTAAGGTATAATATTTTGTACCTTTTAAGGTAGTAAATAGACAAATCTTCTAATATAATATAATTTATAAACTTCTATTATAATTTAGGTATTAATAAAGATATAATTGTCTACCTTAGAAGATAGAAAACTATACCTTACTAAGGGTATATCATATATCCTACCCTAAGGTAGAAATTTTTTTTAGAGTGTGATTCTAAATATATCCTAAAATTATAAAAATATACCTGAATTTTCTTGTTTCCAATAAAGATACCAACATAATGTAAAGAGTGATATGTAGATTATTACCTAATCCAGCGAAGTAAACTTTATATAAAATATAGAGTTTATTAGGCTCTATTAGCTAATATTCCAAATAAATATACTCTGAATATATGATACTAAGCATTTATACCCATAGATATCCATCAAGTCATATAGTCGATGAAAGGTTTGTTGATGAAATGTTTGCATCTATAACATTTTCATATACCATATTCAAACCATTACAAATTCAGTCATGTAACAACATTATTAACTGTTGATGTCTTTATTTTATGCTATATTCATCATTTTTATTTGGAATACAAAATATATATGCAATCCAAAATAATTTCTTGAAATTGAATAACCAAAATAAACACAATTTACTCTTGCCATTTTAATATTTATCTCTGAATACATGCAACTTAACTATAGCAAAATACAATGTTTACAATTTGATGCACTCTAAAGTAGACTGAGCACTATTATAAAGAGGAACTAAAGTGTTATAAGAAAACAGCCCGCGTTTTCAGAATAGTTAAATACTATGAGTATGATTTAATTGAGGAAATTTTATGGCTTTTTAAAAAAATCACAAAAACACAACTATAAAAATAAAAACATTAATGTTTTTTTATTTTTTATTATTTTACTGTATACAAACATCAATGGAAAAATAGGTAGAAAATGCAAAAAGTGCTGTTACATCAACTGGCAAATAGGTAAAACATGCGAGGAGTGCTGCTACATGGACTGAGGGATTTGGTTTGGGCTGGCAACAAACCATCCCTCAGAAAACGTAGTTCATCAGAAAAACATAAATTTATGGTAATTATTTTGTATTGCTAAATTTTGTATTTTACTGTATTTACAAGTCCTGACGGAGACATTTTAGTATTTTGTATGGGCTCAGTGAGCGCATTAAAACACTGTCATGACTTGTATATCCAGTAACCAATCACTGCTCCACACTAGATGTATATACTCCATAAAAAAAATATAACAAATAAAATTGAAAAGTAAAAGTATAAAACATTAAAAAGCACATTCTGCATTAAAAAGTCGATTAAGTTAGGGTTTTTGCAGTAATTTAAAAAATATTTTATTCACGATTAATTTTATGCTTTTGGCTTTTAGACGGAAATGTTGAACTACAAATAATGAAATTTTTTGACAAAAAAAAATTATTTTTTACCTTTAGTTCTTTTAAAGCCAACAATTTATAGAATTATATATACAATCATACATAAACATATATATAATATACAGACATGTACTTATTTACAAATAGATAATTGTATACTTTTCAAAATATATTTACTAATTAAAATTTTTTTTTTTTACAAAAATGTTTAATAATTTTACTATTTTTTCAAAATAACATTAGTTTACATTAGTAGGATCCCAACAATAATGTTTTTGAAGATCAAGCTGACAAATTAACTTCATATCGTCGTCATTTATTGTAAAATGATTTAACAATATATTGCTCCTAATATGGTCAGTGGAAGTTGACATTGGAATAACACCTTTAAAAAAAACAAATTTTGAACATACTAATTATCTTTAAGGAGTCTTATAAATACCTTATATATACAAGTACAAAAAATTAAGCTTTGTTAAGATAATGTCAAAGCTTGAAAACATGCACTATTCTGTACAGGGGAGTAAACAACCATTATTCTGCTGCACAAAATGTTTTGTTATTATGTAATAAAATTTGTTGATGTTAACCTTACCAACATTTTGTTGATGTTCTAAAAAATAATAAAATGTGTTCTATATGAAGCATAAAAAAACCTACCAACATTTTGTTGTAAAGCCCATTTTAAAAGTACTTGAGCTGCACTAGTACGATACTTTTGTGCTAACTGTTGAATTAAAGTTTCTTTAACTAGCTAAAAACAAAAATTAAAGAAGCATAAAAGAGAAAGTAAATTACTTGCATGCATGGGTCATTCTATGTCTAGTGGACCAAAATTTAACTGATTGATTTTATGAAATTTGGTGGTTTGGTTTATATTAATGAGAAAAGCAAATACTAAAAATTTCAGCGTAAAAGCTTTCTTAACAAGAAAGTTTGATGTTGGCAACATTACAGCCATACTTGACATATGGGATGGTGAAATGTGGATCATGTGTGGCTTTGGTATATATTCCACTTAGGTGGTAGCTATATATGGCCCACATGCCCCTGTAATACTTGTATACCAAGTTAGATTCCCACCACGCCCTTGGTAGTACTGCGCTTAATTGTGGTTATAACCACAATTAAGTAGTCTCCCATCTGTAGTGGCCTTCTCGGCTTTGAAGAGGTGAATTAACATTAAAAACAAAAATAAAAAAAATATCACTTATATTACAAATACCATACTTATATATTATATTATAAACACCATACTTATATGTTATATTATAAATATGATACTTATATATTATATTATAAATACCACACTTATATATTATATTACAAATACCATAACCATATGTGATCTAAATCTATACTATCCCCATAAATCAAGTGGCTATAACATATGGCATACATTAAATCAAGTGGCTATAACATATGGCATATGACATATATAACATATGGCATATGACATATATAACATATGGCATATGACATATATAACATATGACATTAAATTTTCTTGTTTCTTTAGTAGTAGTTTGCAGACTAAAGCCAAAAAAAATTTTTTTTGCTAACTAACTATTCTTAAAAAAAAAAAAGGTCCTCGATAGCCCATATTTACCTATTGCCAACTATAGATTCAATTTGCCGGCTCCAGTGTCCAATTCACAGACTAACAAAATTCGTATAGGGGCTAGACACCCCTATGCCTTCCTTCTCAGGACAGCCCAATTTAGGCGACATAAGAACCTCTTTATAACAACTTTAACAATTGTAATCTTTGGTTCTTAGTGTTAATGGCTATTACCTTTAGATTAGTAAAAACTCTAATTGCCAAATGTTTAACCTGAGTATATATTTATACTTATGTATATGTATACATGGGCATATATTTATGTATCAACTTTTTTCACTTATTTGTATCCTCTGATTATTCTTTTATGTGATATTGCACATAAAAGAATATATTTTATAATAAAATTGACCAAGCCCTTTTTTTTTTTATCCCCCTGCTATTATTATCGTTATAGGTGACTTTAATGCTCATCACACTAAACTGCAAGACTAGTACCCTGGCCTTGCAAACATTAAAGTTTAAAATTTTTGTAATTCTTAATCTCTTAATCAGATAGTTAACTTTGTGATTTCTGGACAACTCTAATCACTTAATTTCACTCTATGATTTATCTTGATTTTACCTTGTCTGTGACTTTGTTAGTACTGCAAGAAATTGATACAAAAAGACAGTCTGACACTAAAGTCTATTATTCTAAATACTAAATCTCATACTTTACCACAAAAGTTCTAGAAACTTTTGGAAAATCTTTGACAATGCTATTAACAAAGACAAGTTTAACATTCTATTTTTATCATTTTAACATACATTGACTTTTTTGTTTGTTTACATAATCGATCTCTTATGCAAATAAAAAAAATTAATGATATCATGTGCTGAAACTCTTAGGAATAAAACACACTTAAATAAATTTTCAAGTCTGTAGATTGTGTCATATATCATGCTGACTTTTTCGCCTTCAACAAAACGGAGAAGGCATGCTTCGGCTAAAATAAAAAAGTTAGTTTTTTTTTGTATGCATTTATTTTTTTGTTTTAATCAAAAATATTTATCCAAACATTTTTTTTTTAATCATTCTCTTTAATATGAACACATTTAATATGAACATGTCTTAGAGGTCATTCATTAAGTACAATTTGCTACATCTAGAGGGACATTATCAAGTCTATTTCTGAGCAGATCATATATTAGTACCTTAAAAAAAATGTTCACTTGCAACTGAGCCTCACGGAAATGACAAATATAAGCAAGCAATCAAATTTAATGTTTAAATTATTTATTCTCCATTGTAAGGGATCTTCATTGATAAAAATATGTTTTTGGTTCATTTAGTAAAGACTTTCATACTATAGGTTTTTTCTAAAAAAAAGTTTTTTGCTGTGATGTTAATGTATTGGCCATTGTTACTCAACAATATTGTTGATAAAATGGATTTTATAAAGTGTTCTTATGTTATAGAGTAGTCTCCTTTATTATTTATACAATAAAGGAGCCGTTCTTCAGAAAATATGATGTTGTGAATAATATATACACTCTTGCACTAGGGCTTTTTAATTGAGTTAATACTTTTAATACTTTTTTTTTTTTGTTTTAGCAATTTGATAGTGATTTTGAAAGTTATGAAATTATTTTGGATTTTGATTTATTTTTTTAATTTTTTCATTAGAATCTAACATCTTTTCTAATACAAAGTTGCAATACAACTTACATCAATTTGCAATACAACTTACATCAAGAATATTAACTAGATTTATTGCACATAACATATTTGATCCATAATTGCAAACAAAACATCGAATTTTGTGGGGGATTATTCACCATTCTAGTGCCTAAATGTCAATCATTAAATTAATGAAAGTTTAAAAGAAATTTTATTCTTTTAAACTTTTTTTTTAAACTTAATAATAAATAATTGCTCTTTTGCCTTTTGAAAAGAAGTTGAAGACGTGGAATGGTCTTTTTTTTTTTTGAAGTGGAATTGGTTTGTTTTTATCTTAATAAATTCTTTATAGTCACTAACATGACTTTAAATTTTTTAACACGTTTTCTTTTTTAAAAAAGTGTTCTAAAAATCAATTTGCTTAATTAGCCTTAACTTTATTAAAGTATTTCCATATATCACTTGTTTTTGCAAAAAGCTCTGTAAAATTTTTTATGCAATTTTCTTTAAAAATGAATTTTATAAATAACTTAAAAATGATAAATAATAAACTTTAAATTTTTAAATATTGAAATAAAGTCTTCTAAATATAAATAAGATTTCAAAACTTAATAACCGCATTTAAAAAAATCTTAACAAGAGAGCAAACTGATAATTTGAAAAACAAGTTTTTCAACTTTAGAATAAACAACTTTGCTAGTAATAATTACTTTTTTTATCACTTAAACGCTTGACTTTTAATAAATTTTCATAACTATATTATTCTGCATTTATCATCTTTATTATTATCTGTTCTGCAGTTATTTATTTTAATTTTCATACAGTTTACTAAAAACATTCAAAAACTCACTTTAATAAAAACAATTGTCATTATAGATAAAAAAAAAAAACTTGAGAAATTTTATTTGTAAAACTATTTTTATAAAACAGAGCTTTAATAAGAACTTTTATGTATTAAGCTTTTATGTTTTTAAGTTTTTAGTATTAAATTTTAGAATTTGAGTTTAAGTTTAATTATTAGAACTTTAATGAAAAATAATTTTTAAACTTATTAAATATAAAATAATTTTTGTGCAGCAAATTGTCAAAATCAGGTAAAACCAAAAGATATAAAATAAGAAGAGAAGGTAAGTTGTTAAGATTGTCTATAAAACAAGCTAAAACATAAACTACCTGAGTAAGAAATAAAAAAGACAAAAATTTTGAGCTAAGAGATAAGAAAGACAAAAGTTTTGAGTTTTATTGCCTTTAATATTAGCAGTATAATTGCCGACTCAGTGTGATGAGCCCTAAGTTTAGTAATAACAAAAATATCCGCTGATGGATAAAGAGATAGGGCTTAGTCAAACCAAATCAGTCAACCCTTGGAAGAAAGGGAGCAATTAAGAATGAAGAGAAAACGATTGAGGTGCCTAAATAAAAGCAAATAAAAGAGTAGTTACAGTATTTAAACCTAACTTCACAACAAATAGGTGAATTGATATGTAAGTGTATGCCTAGGCCAACTATGTTACTATTATAGTCTTTGTGAATCAAAGAATAATAATTATCAACAATAAGAAGGTAAAACAGACAAATTTAAATTAGTCTCACAAAGAGCAAGTAAGTCTAGTGAAAAGTAAGTAGCAAGAACAAATTTTAATGAATCAAAAGTTACTCTAAAGTCCATGAATATTTGTAAAAGATACATTGAAACAATTTTCTTAAAAATTATAAGATTTTACTTTAATATGTTTATTCTCAATCGATGTGTAAGCAAAAAGTAATGCAAGTGCTTATCCCTTTTAATCCCTTGTAACAAAAAGCTGTAAAAAAGAGCTCTGTATAACCAACCCAAAATTGTAACTTAAGGCATCTTGACAATGCATACTAAATGACATTGTTAATACCCTGATATTGATGTTAAAACTGTTGATAGAGTTAGTCTCTCTAAGACTACTCTCTTTACTACCAGCCAACCTTGAAACCTTGAGTTTTAGAGCTATACTCACTTTACAGAAAAAGAAGAAAGATAACAGAAAATATTGTATAGCGACTATCGAGGAGGCGCACGCCTCAGCAGAGTCAAGAATGTCTAACAAAGCTAATTAGGTAAAGAAAGGGAGGCAAAGCTGGTCAACAGAAATTTTCAAAAAGTTTTTTTTTAGATTTGCAAATGATTTTCTAAAACCTTTAGGAGGCCATTATAAACATAATGTGATATTAAAAAATTTAATATCAACATGTTACGAAAAACAGAATTGTCAAAGATAAAAAACAAGAGGTTTTTTTTTTAATTTTGTTTTGAAAATTCATATTAAATTATCATCAAAACATAGTGAAAGTTTTAATTTTTTGGGAAAATCAGAAATGATGTATCTATTGAGCTAATAAAGGTTTAATGTAAAAAATTTTATTATTTGGTTTTATCATTTAAATAAACCAAATCATCAAGATTCATCAAAATCTGAAGTGGCATATGTTGAAACCCAAGATTTTTAGTCCGTTTGGCACGCATTTCACATATATTTGAAAATATTTTACCTGTCCTGTACCTAAGGAGGAATATGCTTGAAGAAAAATGTTGTTTTTATGACAGAATTCCAACAGCTCTTTTTGATAAAGATAAGGATGAAATTCAACCTAAAAAATCAAATTATGTATAATGTTTTTATCTTTATCATATTCTTATATGTTTTTATTTACAAAGTAAATTCATTTATATTGTAATTATACAAAGATAAAATATTTGAATATTTTGATTTAATAAAAACAACTAAAAAATTGCTCAAAATTTAAAGTTTTAAATTTAAAAACAGTTTTCTAAAAACATTTTTTGATCCCTAGGTTGTTTTATATATAAAAAAAAATTAAAAGAATCCCTAAATGTCAAGTTATATTTATTTTATTCATAAACATAAGAAAATATGAATTAAATTTACCAAAATAAATTATTCATTGAGATATTTGCAAATAAAATTTCATCTTTTAATTATTCGCCATCTTGTTTTAATTATTTGCCATCTTGTTTTCTTTTCAAAGTTTATATTTAGGCTTACAATTCTACAGTTTTTTTTGTTGTTGTAAATATATCTGGTTTGATAAATAAATGCATTGTGTTCACCATAAGGTTTTTTTAATCTTTCTTTGGGATTTATAATAAAATGCTTGTCATGCATTTCATTTCATAAAATGAAATGTTTCAATTTATTTTCTACTTTTTTTATTTTTTTTTCCAACTTATTTTCTAAAACTAGTTTCAAAACTTTGGAAATCACTTTACTAATTATAGATTTTACTAATTATAATAGAAAAAAATGATTAAAGTTTATGCTTTTATTTTTTTATATCTATCATGATTTTTCATATATACATATATATATATATATATATATATATATATATATATATATATATATATATATATATATATATATATATATATATATATATATATATATATATATATATATATATATATTAGGGATATGACTTTTTAAAAAAAAATTTCCCTGGCCCAAAAATGGATGAGTTTTTACGCATAAAATGCGAAAATATTAATACTTTCACGATGTTCAAAAAAAATGTCACGCCTCAAAGCACATTAAGATTTAAAAAGGTTTTAAAAAAATTAATGACCAAAATCATTTCTATTTGCAAACATGTTCATTCATATGATTCTATAAAAAAAACATAATTTATTCTAACAACTAATACATGGCATAGTGTTATATTCAATGCAGGAAAAAACATTTTATACAATTTAAATACATACAGTTATTGTTTATTAGACAAAATGAAACAAAGTGGAAGATTGTCTTTATTTCCGAACAATCTATAAAGCTCCTCCATTACTTTAATTGCTCTTTCAGCACAATGATTACTTCTGGGAATGTTGATTGCTGATGGTTCTGGATTCCAATGACTTGTAAATGTAGCAAGAGGTTTCTTTTTGTTTAATAAAACTTCATGAAGGTCTGAATAAGTGTTTTCTTTATAGGTTTGGTCGTCAAACCAAAAGTCTGCCCACTTGTAAGAAATAAAGGTACATACAGATTCAAAATTGTTTCTTGTTTTTGGCATAAGAATGTAGGCTAACAACGCTAAAATAACTCTTGAACTCCACCAAGCATTACTGATATTAGAGATTTTTTGAAATCTTACATTAGAAAATATTTTATTTTGGTCATAGTATCGGTAGGTTCTCGTCAGATGAAACAGAAACTTCATGTCATCTCGCCATCCTCCTGTGTCTTTTATTTCTTATGTACCATTATAAAAATTTGTCTTCAGTGTTTCATAATGTTCTATCAACTCGTTAGTAAAAAAGTAATTAATGTTTGGTGAGTTCGGATTTTCTCCCAATTTTTCTTCCATTTCTAGTCTAAGTATTCTATCCTATATAGATATGATGTTGACATGGTACAAACTGAGGTTTTTGTAATCCTTTTTTTTTGAAAAATGTCCTGAAGTTTTACAACAACACCATTTTTCTTTCCGGTATTGACATTTGTAGTATCTGTCACAATCATTTTAATTGAATTCCATAGTTTAAATTCATCTATAATATCAGCTATGGCATTAATAATAGTGATAGATTTTTCATCTATTAACTTCAGTGCGCCCAACTTTATTTCGCTTCTTTCATTTTTAAGAACGACAACCTGATACTTCCATTGGTCTATATGCTTTCCATCGAAGTGTAGACTCCAATTCTCATTCTTTAAATCTTGAATTAAAGTTTCTTTAAATTGTTTTGCTTCAATAAAAAGAGCCTTGTATATTCCAAACTGTGATGGCGCTGGAACATGAATGCCAGTATTTTACCTATTTTAGAAGCTTTCTTAGTTGATACCTTAGCACAAACCACTAACTTTGTTGCTATTTTACAACTACTACATTTTTTACGTCTTTTCTTCAAATTATTATATTCTTCATCTATAATTTCATTATCTATCTCAAATTGTTCATCAGTTTCTTCAAATTCGGAACTAGAGTTGTCTCTTTCTATTTTACTACTTTCAGTAAATGAAGAAAAACTTTTAGATGCTGAAGGTTGGCTGAAAAGTTTTTGCACAATTGATGGATGAATAGTCTTCTTTCCTACCAGCTTTGAAGTAGCATATCCAATTTCTCCTTTGCTTTGTAACTGAATTTCATAAAATCTTTTATCTTCAGATGATAACCAAATGCCATTTTGATTTGTTATATCAAAAATCTCTTTTTGCAGAAGGTCGGCATTCCCTTTTTTTCTGAGACTTTCATATTTTTCTATAACTTCATTAATCTTTCGCTTCACTGACTGCTCTGTCAGACACGGGAAATTTAATTGTTCTTTCCACAAACTTAGAACTTCTTCTGAAATAAGATCTATCCTTTGCTTTTTGGCTTTCACATCACTACTAGACGAATACTTAAACCTGCTAACAATATCACTTTTTAATGGCATTTTGGAATATTCTTGAAAAGATGTTTCTAACATTGGAAACTGTCTACTTTTATGCGAATCTTGAAATTTTATAAGATTTTTTTTATAAGTCTCTTTATTTTTTTCAACACTTGACTGGCAGTATTTGTATGCCATTTTAATTAAAAGCAGCACAAAAAAATCTGAAACTAATTAATAAACAATTAGGCACGGCAGTGAAAAACTAGAAATTATAAAGTGGTAATGCATACGTCTGGTATGTATTTAAAATTATATATATAATATATATTAACCGTCTATATATATTTTATTATATATAATATAATAAAATATATATATGACTTCTTTAACTTATGTTTTCTGGCCCATATGTAATATGTATAGTATATTATATTCCTATCTATATTGTATTAAAAAACATTTCAGCCAAGGGGCGTGACATTTTTTTACACTTGAAGGAAAATAAACATTTCTTCATTGTTTTCTAGCAAAAACTCATTCAAAAATAATATGGGGTTGTCCAAATTGTATAAAAAGTTAAAAAAGTCATATCCCTAATATATATATATATATATATATATATATATATATATATATATATATATATATATATATATATATATATATATATATATATATATATATATATATATATATATATATATATATATTTATCTTACTTAAACATTTTTTTATCTTACTTTTATCTTATTCTTTTTATCTTTTACATTAAAGAATATTTAATACTCTACTCAGTTAGATTTAAAAAAATTATTTTAATTACTTTAATTAGTAATTATTTATTACTTTTTTATTTATTTATTTTTTTCAACATCTTCGCTTTCAACAAGGCTGCAAGCAACCACTATTAGAGTTGGAAGTTATAGAGCAAGATAATGATTGACAGACAACTTAAAAGATTGCAAATTATATGAATCAGGAAAGCAAGATGAAGGAAGCAAATTCAAAAGAACTGATGTTCGAGGAAAAAAACTGGACTAATAAGAGTTTTTAGAGAACTTAGGAATAGTCACAGAAAAAGGGTGAGACTTGATTGAATGACGAGTAACACAAGAAAGAATTTTAGTAGATGGCACAAGAGACACTAGATCTTTAGAGCAGTGCCCGTTATAATATTTGTAGAAAAGAGAAAGAGAAGCAACATTACAACAATGTGGTAATGGTTGGAGTTTGGCTGCAAGAGCAGGTCCATCTATGTTTACAATTGCAAAAATGCAAAGATGCATTTTTGCATCTTGTCTAAAGGAGAAATCGCATCATTAGAAGATCCACCCCAAATATGGCAACAGTATTTAATACAAGGACGGATGTGAGATTTATAAATACAAAATAGAATCCAGATGAGAGATGCAATCTTAACAGATGCTAATTTTGCAATGGATTTGATATATGGTTTCCAAAAAAGTTCGGAAGTAAGAGTTAATCCTAGAAAATGAATGGTAGATGACTTATCAAGTACAATACTGTAATAAATATAGGAAGATTTAAATTATTGCGGTAACGATTGGCTGAAAAAAATTGGGTTTTACCTGAATTACTTCTGCTACAGCATGGGGTTCACAAGCCACTGTGAACCCCATGCTGTAGCAGAAGTGAGATCCTTTTCAGATGAGGCTTGACTTGGAATCGTTGAAAGGAAATAAAGATTCCATGCCAGTCTGAATCCAAGAATTTATTTAAAAAGCACATTTATCATTTTTGTTGCAAAGCTAATTTTTAAAAAGACATTTTTTTCAAAGTTCATAAACTTAACTTTATTTAACAAAATAAAAAAACTAAAACAAAGTGGGGCTCTATGAACAGTATACTTCTTAATTTTTTTCTATTATTATTATTTTCAAACCAAAATCCTGTAACTTTTACTATTTTTTGTCATTTAGCTTAAATTATTACAAGTCAGACATAACAAAAGATTAATGTTTTTTTTATTGAACTGAAAAGATTCTAAAAGTAAACTACAAAATATATAATTCTACAAATTTGCTAATTTGGCTTCTAATTTCGAGAGAAAATAGGTTATGGTAGGCACAAAATAAAATCACTAGATTTATTTTTTGTTTATGCAACACAATGATCGCAAAAAGTGACCAACGGAGCCATCCAGTTTCCTAGACCTGAGAGATGTGATAATAAAAACAGTTAGAAGATGGTGTCATTGAATAAAAAATAAAAATCGTAAGAAAATACAAAATGAGTGATAAGACTTTTGTGAAGGTAAAGAACGCAGTAAATGCTAGGAGGGCAAGGAGAGAACAACTAACACTCTAATCACTCTGTATGTAGATCATATGTAACAAAGAACAAATATTTGATATACTGATTTTGAAGACTGTTGATGTCTACAGGTTTGATGGTGTAGTGCATTAGTACGTACCGTTTGTCGTCTAGTATGGTCTCGTTATAATTCGAATGTTTTTTCTTATTGAACTGAAAAAATTCTAAAAGTAAACTACAAAATATATAATTCTACAAATTTGCTAATTTGGCTTCTAATTTCGAGAGACAATAGGTTATGGTAGGCACAAAATAAAATCACTAGATTGATTGAGAAAGAAAGTTGATGACCAAAACATTAACACTTAAAGGCTTAGACCTGATTTTTTTGGTACATAAATTGTAACTAATTTATAATATGTGAATTAATTATCAAAAGGATTCTGACAAATTACAAAAAAACAATAATAGACATAAAATATAACAAAAAATATAAAACACAATTAGATCGCACAAAAAATGATCTCAAGTACACAAAACATGATTAGAACTACATGATTTGGATAAATTAATTCAAAACAAATTACAAGATTTTAAACTAAACAAAAACCGCAACAAAAGTTAAAATATAAAGTTAAAAAATTTTATATCTTTAATAAAAAAGTATTTATAGTAAATATATTTAAAAATATTTTAAAAATATATTTACTGATTTTTATTGTCTAATACTTATATTCATACTTTTTTGTTAATCATTTTGCAATAATTAAAATCTGGTTTATTTTCTACAATAATTAAAACCTGGTTTATTTTCTGCAATATGTAAAACCTGGTTCATTTTCTGCAATAATTAAAACCTGGTTTATTTTCTGCAATATGTAAAACCTGGTTCATTTTCTGTAATAAATAAAACCTGGTTTATTTTCTGCAATAATTAAAACCTGGTTTATTTTCTGCAATAATTAAAACCTGGTTTATTTTCTGCAATAAATAAAACCAGGTTTTTTTCTTATTATAAAAAAATAAAATTAGACCTGATTGACTGATGGGGGGATATCAGCATAAAGAAACAATTCTTCTAAGTGTTTTTTCGTAAAATTAGATACACCTATGGACTTTAGAGAACCTATAAAAATTACAATTTTATAAATTTCTAAAAATCTTTTTCACATATTTTAATGTATATATCTTGTTAGTATGATTACTATTATCAAATATGTTTTATAATAATTTCAATATAAATATTTGTTATAAAAAGAAATTTTTCAAAGAAAAAAAAAATTATAAAAAATTTTCTATGAAAACATACTAATTAAAATTTTTTTTTCCAGAATTTAGAAAGTTAAAAATTAGTACAACGAATTTTTTTACAAAAAAAATGTAAAAATTATATATCATACATAATGGTATAAATGCAAAAAAAATTTAATGTAAATAAACAAAAAGACCGAGGACAAAAAGACAAAAAGAGTTACATGGGCTACAGTGCATGCATCGATGATCTTGCAGCCTGCACTGCAAAGGAGTGTTTTTAACACATATATAATAACAACAATATATATATACATATATATATATATATATATATATATATATATATATATATATATATATATATATATATATATATATATATATATATATATATATATATATATATATATATATATATACACACATAACTGTTAATTCACCTCCAAAGGCTGAGAAGGCCTTGAGGAGGTGAATTGTCAAAAAAAATATATATATATATATATATTTTATATATATATATATATATATATATATATAATATATATATATATATATATATATACCAGGTATACCGGTATGAAATGAGCGTTTTTTGTGAAAATAAAACACTAATTATTAATGGGAAAGTATAAAACATTTTTTTCAAAGTATTGGCCATTGTTTTCTACACATTTTGACCATCTTTCTGGCAATTTGTGGATACCACTCCAATAAAATTGTTCATTTTTTAAAGCAAACCAACCAGACACCCAATTTTCGACCTCCTCGTAGGAATCAAAGTGCTGCTCAGCCAATGCGTGTCCCATCAATGAAAACAAATGGTAGTCGGAAGGAGCCAAGTCTGGTGAATACGGCGGGTGGGGTAGCAGCTCCCAGCCAAGTGTTTTGATTGTATCCTGAACCGGTTTTGCTTTGTGTGCAGGTGCATTGTCATGGAGCAAAATTACCTTGCCGTGTCTTCTGGCCCATTCTGGTCGTTTCTCGATCAATGCATGGTTCAAATTGATCATTTGTTGTCAGTAGCGATCAGTATTGACGGTTTCACCAGGTTTTAGGAGCTCGTGGAACACCACACCTTTCTGGTCCCACCAAACACACAGCATTGTCTTCTTGCCGAATCGATCTAGTTTTGCAGTCGATGTTGATGGTTGTCCCGGATTAACCCATGATTTTTTCCGTTTAGGATTCTTAAAATAAATCCATTTTTCATCGCCAGTAACAATCCGATGCAAAACCGATTTTCTTTCGTGTCTTCGAAGCAAAATTTCACAAGTGTTTTTTCGGTTTTCCATCTGTCTTTCATTCAATTCATGTGGCACCCATTTTCCACACTTTTGGATCTTTCCCATAGCTTCTAAACGGTCAGAAATTGTTTGTTGTGCAACATTTAACATTTCTGCCATTTGCTTTTGACTCAAAGTGTCATCTCCATCCAATATCGTTTGCAATTCGGCGTCTTCAAACTTTTTTGGTGGTCTTCCACGTTCTTCATTTCTCACATCAAAATCATTATTTCTGAACCGTTGAAACCATCTTTTGCATGTTGCTTCTGATAGAGCATGATCACCATATGCCTCGACAAGCATTCGATGCGACTCTGCAGCACTTTTCTTCAAATGAAAACAAAAAATTAATGCTTTCCGCAAATCATCACTTTCTGGTACAAAATTTGACATTTTTAACACGATGAAAAAATATGATGTTGTCTGTTCAATGACTTGATGTATACTAAATATGTTTCACAGATGTCATAGCAAACAAACAAACAAAAAAAAAAGGCTCGTTCACAACAAATGTTCCCTATCAAGAAATTTGTATCTTGACGCTCACTTCATACCGGTATACCTGGTATAGATATATATATATATATATATATATATATATATATATATATATATATATATATATATATATATATATATACATCATATAAATACATCATATAGTAGCTTAAGAATGTATTTGTTGTGATATGCAAAAGTTTTTTTCATTTGATCCAAGATTAAATTTTTTTCTCCTATCCATAAGGTAAGAATGATTTTCATTTTTTGTTCGATAATGCATCACAAAGCATTTGTCAATATTAAAGGAAAGTAACCATTTTTTTGACCAAACAACAGCTTCATCCAAATCAGCTTGAACATTTTCTACTTTTTTTGTATTTTCAATTGTAGATAAGATTTTTGTATCATCAGCATAAAATTTTGTTATATTCTGAAGGGAATCAGGCAAATTATTAATAAATATCAAAAATAATAACGGTCCAAGCATGGACCCTTAAGCTACGCCACTCAGAACTTTTTTCCACATAGAAACAAGATCACCTATTATGGCATTAGCAAAGCCAAGATAAATAAGATCAACTGGTAGTTAATAAGCTAAAAAAAAATTATTATTATATAATGATTTCTCTAAGGATACTTTTACAAAATCCTTTAAAATTTTACACAAGATCGAAGCTAGGGAAACTGGTCTGTAGTTTGATGCTGGTTTCTTAACAGCAATTTTAAACAATGGTATTTTTAAATAATGGTGTTATATCTGCAAATTGAAATTGCAATGGCAATATGCCGGTATTTATAGAAGGTAACATATAATTAAGGTAAAAATAATTTTGTTTAGTGATGACATAATAAAACCAGTTTTTATGGTTATTTGTGTTATAGCTATTTTGTGCTGCGATCTTATGTAACTACTAAGCCCTTATGTAATTCTTAGTACTATTGATAATGACCATGTGTAAGAAGTATTTTACAAGTTGCTTGCTATTTAATGACATAACTGTTCAAATTGTTTAACTATAATTGTCTCTTGATTGTTCAAATATTGTAATAAATAAAATCCCTTTAATTCAAGTATTTTAGTTAATAAAATATCTTATTAAGTTGTGGTGTTATTAGGTTGTGTTATCTAGTCTTTTTTAATTATTCTGGAGACACACAATATGTCCCCAGAATAATTAAAAAAGACAAGCTGTAATGTGTGTTTACAAATATCTTATGCTATGCACTATTGTTACTGTTTTGTGTTGATAGAGCTAGGCTGTTTTTTTTTTTCTTTATATTTTCTATTATATTGTTAATTATTATATTGTTAATTATTGTTAATAGAATTGAATCAGAATAATATTCTGATTCAATTCTATTAACAATAAAATGCGTATATGCAAATACTTTTGTAATTAAAAATTTTAATTTTTTCTTTATTCCTTTTTTCCTGTATTGGTTGGCTTTACTTGACTTTCCTCCTTTGGTACCTGCTGTATTGTTACAGATTTAAAAAGGAACTTAAAAAATTGGCTAATAATAAGAAGACTAAACCCAGATGATTATGTTGGTGATTAAATTTTAAGCAAAGTGGCCAATCACCCATTAATCGTCACCAAAAAATCATGAAAGAAATTAAGGTCAGCCTAAAGCTTATAGAAAAAATGAAATGATGGAGTAAACCTTATGTAGAAGTACAAGATAAAAAATTTAGTGAGATCTATGCTGTGATCTCACTAAATTTTTGGACCACCTTAAAAAGAACTAAGGTGGTCTGGACCACCTTAAAAAGAACTAGAAAAAAATCTGACAACTGACTACATATTAGGGTCAGAGACTAAACCTATAAATGTCACTAAATATAGCAATTTTATATAAATATTTTTTAAAAAAACTGACAACTGACCACATATTAGGGTCAGAGACTAAACCTATAAACGTCACTAAATATAGCAATTTCATATAAATATTTTTTAAAAAGTTGTGGCAATTCAAAGGTGAACAAAATTCAAAAATGTTTAATAACAATTCGAATTTTTGATGGCAGTACTTGTAGTATGCACCCACACCTTTGAAAACAGAACAAAATTAACCTTTTAAAAAGAGATAAAACAGATGAACCAAATAAAATTAATATAATGAAAATAAGCACATCTACAAATTTTACCATTAGTTAAATTCTGTACATTTTATGGTTTAAGAATAAGTTAAGTGTTATGGGTTAACATATATGTTTATATATATAATATTGTCATGAGTTAACACGATAAGTGTTAAAGGTTATACTAATATTGTGTAGTTTCGAAATACAATTCTAAAAGTTGCGAAAGAATATGCAAAATGAACATGCTAAAAACAAAAACTTAGCAACAAGCTTAGATGAGTGAGAGACACATTAGATGAACATCTGTAAAAAAATCTTTGTTCTTTATAAAATGTTACTTTTATTGTAGTTACTATTGTTTTACTGTGGTTACTATTATATTTTAAGTTTGAACAATAAATAATATATGTTTTGAATTCAATTTTTAAAATTTTAAATAATATTGTGTATTTTTGCATAGTTTTAGGAAGTGTGCAAGATTACCAGTATTTCAGTAAAAGAATTTTACTTTACCAATTTATGCGTAATGAAAAAAATTCTGTAATTTTTTAATCCCAAGTAAGTAGTTACTTCTTGAAGCAATTTTTGCTATAAACAAAATTGTTTTTACTCTTCATAACCTCTGATTTTAATTTTTTGTTAAAATAAAAAAATTTTAAATAATATTTTTACTTTGTTTAGTATTCAGCCAAATGGTATTATTCAGTTAAAATACTGAACAGTAACCAAAATTTTGTAGCAGTAGCCAAATAATTGTTGCATCTCTAGTTAAAAAATACCAGCTATTGCAAGTTTATATTTAGTAAACATAGTAAACATTAGATAAAAATGTAAATATATATATATATATATAAATTATATATACAAATCAATATAAAAACTATACATATATAAAAAATAAGAAACTCAATAAATAACAATTTGAAAAATATAATAAATAATAAATGTAAATAACAGGCTAATGTAAATCTTTATTTTTACATAAATTTATTGTATTATACTTAATTTTTTATCTTTTAACATTATAACTATTATTTAAAATTATTAAATAAAAAAAAATCATATTCATTCAAGTTTTATTATCTGTAAAAATATTTACATTATATATAAATATTGTATGAAAACAATATTGGGATTTTATAAACAATATTTGGATTTAATAAAAATAAATGTTTTTTTATTTTTACTAAAATCAATTAAAAACAAGTTTTTAAAAGAAAAAAATAATATAAATTTATTGCAGCTATTTTAATTAAAAACATAAAAAAAAAATTTTAAAACATTTATTATTACCTTGTTTAAAAAGATATTGAAAGGCATTCCAAGTTTCTTTGCGAAAACCACTGTGTTCTGTACTAACAGGTGAAAGATTAGATTTTGCAGGCCAATGTATCAAGTATAAATCGAGATAGGTTGTTTTTAGTTTAGAGAGAGTTTCTGCAACAGTTGAAATAGCAGAATCATAACCCATGTCTTTAGGAG